CTGTTTATTTAATAAAGCACTTAAATACCAAATTTTTTTTAAGACAATCAACATTGTCATTAAACCTGCATCTATAAGACTAAAAGAAGAGATACGATAGTTTTCAAAGAAATGTTCTTTTGTCATTCGACAAAATTGTAATCTGTAATTGTTTTTTTTTATTGAAAAGCACATTGCTTCTTTGCTTAAGAACAAAAAGTGTATAATTAGTTTATGGTTTTTTACTGAAGTAATCACCAGCTATTGCTTCATCGAGGGCCTCCCGATAAAGTTTTCCAATACATCTGTGAGCATAAGTGTTGTAGTGTACGTCTCTGTCAAAGAAAGACATGAGATTTTCTGGATCAAAAACACGACAAACCTAAAAACAATGTTTAAATTTTTTTTTTCTTTTTACTAAAGTAAAAATAATTGTTTACTTGTAACAAAAGATTTCTGACATAAATTACTAACTACAAATTGGGAATCGCAAAAAAATTTCTAGTAAACAAGCAAACTGATAAGTAACTCAACAAATTTCTGGCTAAAAAGTTTTTAGTAAAATTGTAATTTGAGAAAAGAATTGTTTGAAAAAAATTTGATTATTCTTATTCAAAAATTCTTCTTATTATTTTGGGTCAATGTGATTTTTGACAAAGAAGAAAAATATGTTGAACTTCTCAACCAGTTATCTGAATTGTTTTCAAATAAAAAAAGGAAAAAAAAAATCAAATTTATTAATTGCTTTGATCTTAATCACTCTGATATTTTTGAGACTTTAAAGTGTACTGTGCACCCTAAAAGTATACTTTTAAAAACAGTAAATAATAGAATATTAGAATAAGCCAAAAAGTTTCAAAGGATTTGAAATTGACCGCTTTTCTAAATACAACCAAACCTTTTGCTCACTGTAAAGGTTCTATTGTTTTTTTGGGGTACAAATATTGCATTTCTCTTTATTCCCTTTTTTTGAGGGGGTTTATTTCACTATAATACTATATACAACAAAATATAAAAAGAATTTTGCCTACTGAATCTGAGTCAGCAAATTTATGTCACATCATATTAAGAACTATGAAATTTCAATTCATATTTTTAGCGCTACCGACTGAATTGTATAATTTTATTTATTTATTTATTTTTTTTAATTTTTATTCTAACTTTTTTAACAATTTATAAAGGTTACAAATAAGTAAAATAAAAAAAAAGAAAAGATAAAGTAAATAAATAAAGCACTAAAAAACAAAACAGTTTAGACGTTTTCAAAGCGACAGTAAACAACGATCACCAACCTGTCTATCGCAAAATATTCGATGAGGATAAATTTTAATACAATTTTCACATCGTAAGTTTTCTAAGCGCCTGATAGCGTATTGAAGTTCTTTTCGGAAACTCTTGTAATTTATAAATAAGTTGCGAAAATCTTGACCTTTTTCTAGCTGACGCATTAGTAACCAATAGAAGAACCTGTTAAGTGTAACATAAGTTTTTTTTTTTTTTTCGTCTCAATAGAGCAAGAAATAAGTTGTTAAAAGAAAAGAAGAATTAACAGTTGCAGAGTGAAAGGATAATTTGATTGAATGTGCTGTTTCAACGTGTAGCTAAATTTTCTTACATAATAAAATGACTAATTTTATTTAAATTTGCTTATATTTAGCGCTTCAACTACACTTCTAACTCTAAGACTATGCTACTGTTTGACAACAAAACACTGCATTTCGTTTATCCTCTTTTTACCCTTGAAGCTCATATCTGTAGAGAAATACAGTGCTTAAAGTTATACAATTTTTGATTATTTTAGTGAGAACATAACAGAAACTTATTTTCTTCTTACAGTTAAAAAAAAAAAGAAAGAAAAGTGTACGTAAGCTTTAAAAATTTTTTTTTTTGCGTACTCAAGTTGGTACTAGACAAGCGAATAAACGCTACCAAAAAAACGAGTGCATAAGCAGGAGCCTGTTTTTTGGAGTATCGTAAACTTGAAAGGTTCTTTACAAAAATGCACCAGCACTGTAAATAAACGCTTATTTAAAATTTTAATTAAGCAGTTAGATTTTCTATTCTTGAATATGACTCCAGGGTATTCCTCAAAACTAAGTTTTGTCAAAATGTAACTCTTCTTGATTTATATTCTCTTCTGTAATGTTGACATCAGAAAACAACAACATTTACACTTTCAGCTGTTTTTTACGAGCAGCGAAGATTGTTTATTACAGCCTTCTCATAGAAATAGACAAGTCTAACCAAAAATTGACTTCTGTTGACATCAACTCTATATGGAAGAGTATAACTGCTCTAAAATAAACAAAAAAAAAGCAAAAAAGTACTCTGCGTATATTGAGTTACTAATTTAGCTTAAAACGTTTAAGAAAATAATTAAAAAATAACAGTTCTTATTGCGAGTATTAAATACTGCCAAAAAAAAAAAGATTAAAAAATTTTTTGAAAGATGTTATAAATTTTGGCAATGCAGCATCTGCTAAATCTAACACGGTTAATTAGAAGTGAGCTTTATAAGAGAGCGCAAACTGTATTTAACCCCAAAGTTTGGCCGGTTACAAAAAGGAATTTATCATTCACAAGTATGTAGAAAAAGATGACTCAAACGAAATGATTTAATATTTTTGAAGTCACAATAAATACCCAAATACTAATGGTGCAACAAACCTTTTGTAAGAAACTGGAAGCGGCATTTGAAGTAAAATTAATTTTGAAACATTAGAGAAAATGTTGATTGTTTCTTGCATTGAAATCATGAACTTGTCCTTTTGAAGTTCACTAAAAGGTTTTCTCAACAGCAGTGGTCTGAAAATAGTGAACAGTCGATAATAAGCCCAAAATGTCCTAGTTTCTGGCGACAGCTAAGAGCTTTGTGTTTTTGACTGAACAAAAAAACATTAGCACCTGAAAGACTTACAGAAAAATAATGAATAAAACATCTGGTTTTACTTCTTTGACAAGATTAACGGTATTTTGAACATAAGAACCACAACGTTTCTGATGTTTAGGAGGCTCATCTTTAGCCAAATTCAAGAATGGCTGGCAGTGTCCACTTGTAACCAACCGAATTTCTTTAGCATCCTGCTGTAGAAAGTTAACAATAGCGTGAAAAGCTCTGTGACCGTAACTATTCCCAACAACTAACATATTCAAACTTCCGGAACCCTGCAAATATAGCCATATTAGCAAGGCTTAAATTTCTATCAGGTTTGTAGATAGGCTTATTCAAATTTTCTAAATTTTTAAAAAACATTATATATACAAATAATATATGTAAAAGATTTGGTTTTTTCATAAATTGTTAGATGATTTATGTATAGTCAAAAATAAAGGTACACGCTATATAAAAAGCAGGATGTAGTTGATGAGGCTGGATTACAGCGAGATTTTGTGAAGTGTCTTCGTGATCAATCCTGTTGCTTTTTGATTTTTTTGATTCTTTTTCAGATAGCAAATTTGTGAGGTCGCAAAACACATTTTCTGAATTGATATTTTTGTATCCAAGACAAAATAATTTCTGCTATTATTGTGGCTTCCAGCAAAAATGAGAAAAACCACGTATTCATAAAGTTCAAAAAATGATTTTTCAAGTAAACGCAAAAGTATTCCAATTTCTAAAAAAAAAGGAGAAATTAAATGACTTGGTTGTAAATCACATATGTTTGATGGTTTCAGCCACAAAACGATGCCAGTTCTCTTACACTGAGATTACAGAAGCAAATTTCACATTTTTTAATTGCGGATTTGAAACAAATAAGCCTTATAAGTTTGAAGCAACGTTATGATAACAGCTAAAATAACCTTGCAGTTAAAAACTTATACTATTTGGGTGTTTTTGTTGGAAGAAAAAAAATATTGCTTGACCACTCTGCTTTTTCATAGTGTTTCCCGTTTATATAACGGTCATCTAACGTGAATAGTTAAGTATTATTTTGATCATCAGTTTAAAAGAAGAAGTTGAAGAGAAAACAAATTTTTCCGAGATTATTTTATGCTGAATAATCCTTACTTAGCCACTAATAACTTTCAATTTTAGAAAAAAGCCATAATATTTATTTGATGCCTAATAATACATCTGTTGCTAGAACTATCAGAGTAGAGGACTGGGAGGCGTTTTTGGGTGCGATACTGGTGACAGGGGTAATTCCGTTCAGAAATTATGCCGCCTAATTACAAGCAAGATTTTATCAATCACAATATCAAAAAATAATGTTTTTTGTTTCCCTCTTTCGTTACTAATAAACCTAAGGTTATGTGCATCAAATACCGAGTAAAACTACAGTCTCGGTATCGCCATTAAAGCACAACATGCAAGGAGAATTTCCAAGAAATATTCCTAAAAAATGGAAGATAATGTTTCCCAAGTGTTGCGAAAAACGAAGTCATAAGCAAATGGTACCGAAATAACAGTTGAGCAATATGCGCAATGACTTTAAAAGTGAAGAACATTTAGAAAAAGGTTGACAGCATAAAAAGCAATTTTAAACTCAGAAATTCTTACTTTACATTAGAGAAAAGCCGTGAGAGATGCAGAGTTATGCGAAAACAGAATGCATAATGACGTAAACAATGAGTACTGAAGGAAACTTTTAACCTCTTCATGGCACAAGATCATACTAACCTTCAAATAATCGTAAAAGCCTGCTGGTTCTTTCTTTTTCAAAAAATGTTTTTCGTAAAATTCATCCTTTAACAAGTTTTTCGAATGGTAGTCTGGCAAAGGTATAGAAAACAGTCGGCGATTGCTAGTAATAGCTTGCAGTACCATTAACTTTGTCACATTTTTAGGAAGATATGGCGTTTCATGAAAATCGTAACAAAATTTCTCTAAAAGCGATGCTATAAAAAATAATTTACCAAATTATTCGTAGAGGACTCAGAAAAAATTTGTTTTTAGGATAGCCTGCGAAAGAGTGATAGCTGAAGTTTACATACCAAAGTGGGTTTTGTTCACCCACGTAGTGTCTGCAAACTTTAACTTCAGCGCGGCAGTTTTCAACGGTGAAACTTTTTTTACAGCGACCGCGAAGAACAAAATTCCAGTGACGTTTAGAATTAGAAAAAGAGCTGAAATCAGAAACTTTTTTTGAATGAACGTTTCCTCCACAAATTTGTAGGATAATGTGCCAAGCAGGATCGATATTTCAGCAACTAGAACGGCATCTACAAAAGCGGCAGATTCTGAGCGATTCAAGCATTAGAGTCATTTTAAGTACTATGCATTTGAAGCAGCCACAGAAACCATTACTTGTTTTAAACTTCACCAGCGATTATTCGTTTGAAGAAGCCAATTTTTTTTCTTCAATGTTTATATTCCTCAGATTCAAAATTCTCTTGAACTAATATCCATTCCTCTATTTACATTACCTTTAATGGCTAAGTGGTCTGCATTTAACGTGTAGTTGAAGATTACAATCGCCGGCCAGTGCAGTAAATAAACAGAGTAAGAAATCTCTCCGACGTAATACAGGTACTTGTTTCCAAGAAATTTGTTTACCAAAACATCGTCTTCCAGCCAAATAAGAAGAGCACTGGCCATGGTAACAATAAACCGAATAAAATCTTTGTTTATAGGAGGAAAAATTATTGCCGGAGAAACAGCAATCAGAGCTATTGTTGTGTGTCCAATGCCATGCGGCCCTGTGAAAGAATACAGCAGAGTAGGCGAATACTAACTGATACAGTAAAAACAAGAACAAAAAATATTAAAGAGTTAAATCAAATTTGATATGCTTCAGCGGTTAAAAATTTCTCACTTTTTGGAATATAGTAGGCAAGGCTTCCACACATAAACTGCCACATGCGACTAGGAAGAGAAGAAAATTGCAAAGGTCCAGAAGTAGAAAGATTGAACCATATAGAGGCAAATAGAATAAAGACCCATAAAATTTGGGCAACTAAATGTCCTTTTAAAAAAAGCACTAATATTGGAGCAATAAAGTAGAACTGAATTTCGACAGCTAGTGACCATGTGTGAACGAGAAAATCGTAATTTGCAATCTGAAAAATCTTAAAAAAGGTATTGCTAAACGAGGAGAGGAAGAGTTGGTTGAGCATCTCAATCTCACCCCTGATTCAGAAAACAAAAAAAATGTGTAGCAACTTTGGTGGCAAACTCGTAGTGAAAAATAAATGACACAGTTGATCCGACCATTTCCGGCTTTCGCCAACAGTGCTTTGCCTAATTTTCTATGTTGAAAAGGTTTACAGTTCATCTCCAAAAGTAGACAGATTTCTTTCGGCCGTTCTAGTTTTTTGCTGAAGCGAAGTAAACAGAAGAAATAAAGCTCAGTCGATTGCTTGTGCCACGAAAAATCGTCAAAACTCAAGATAATTAATATTTGGCTTTCAATATTTGAGCATACTATCAATTTTTCAGTTTGAAAGTATTAACTGCAAAAACTTCAGAAGCAGAGACAAATTTTTTACTTTGTTATTTCGTTCCATTTTCTGTTTTTTCCTCTAACGTGAAAAAAAAACAAACTTGACCAGTCTCTAAAGCCTTACATCGCTAAAATAGCCCTCATTTAAAATATACTTGTGGATATTGGTGGCAAAAAAAGCAGCCCAATTAGAATCCGTTTGCAGCAACTCAAAATCTTTTTCGGCGAGTGTGAAATATCCATACAGTAGTAGTGTAAATAGAAGCATAAAATATGCAGGAAATATGCGTTTTATGCGTTTTTTATAAAACACTACAGTTTGTGAAAAACAAACTGATGGTTGTTTTTCCAATATCATTGTCATGAGGTAACCTGAGATTACAAAAAATATATCCACTCCGAGGTACCCATTGCGGAAGAGCCATGGGTATAGGTGAAATGACAACACATAGATAATTGCCAGACCGCGAAGTCCTTGAATGTCTTTTCGTTTTGGCTTCCCTAAGCTGTCTGAAAGGTTACTATTCATTCACCTCAAGCTTATCAATACTTTGAGAAGTCCCAAAAAATGTCTTAAAAAGAAACGGTTGTTGTTGGCAAAATTCATTTTCTACGCTTGCCTGGTAAGGGTGTCGTAATTAATTCTTCTTTGTTTCCTTTCATTACAGGCATTCAGCGCAAAAACTCAAGGTACGTCAGATTATCCAACGACTGGCGTTTATATAGGCTGCAAAAATTTTAATAAATTGTAGAAAGCGAACAATATTGCAGAAGCTCCGTCATCGCACACGTTGTTTTACAACGAACACCAAAATGACAAAAAAATTTGTCGAAAAATTCTTTAACAGTCCTTTAAGTTTTGTGCTTCTACAAAGAACTTTATTCGAGAGCAGCACTTTACCGCTTTCAAAGCTGTGAAGCAGTTGAACAAGCGATAAAATGTTGCTTTTGAATAAGAGCTTTTCTAGCAGTATGAGACGATAAAAGTCAAAAAACCATTGAAGAATTTTTCGACAAATTTTTTTGTCATTCTGGTGTTCGTTGTAAAACAACGTGTGCGATGACGAAGCTTCTGCAATATCGTTCGCTTTCTACAATTTATTAAAATTTTTGCAATCTATATAAACGCCAGTAGTTGAGTAATTTGACATACCTTCAGTTTTTGCACTGAATGCCCGTAATAAAAAGGAACAAAGAAGAATTACTTACGACACTCTCACCAGGTAAGCGTAGAAAATGAACTTTGCCATCAACAACTGTCTCTTTTCAAAACATTTTGTTGAGACTTCTCAAAGTATTCATAATTCTGAGGTAAATGAATGGTAACCTTTCAAACAGCTTAAAGAAGCCAAAATGAAAAGACATTCAAGGACTTCGCGGTCTGGCAATTATCTATGTGTTGTCATT